GTTTGGTTAATAAACTTAAAAATTTTGCTATTTTTTTATGAAAATTAATATGTACACATTTGTTTCCTTAATTAATTTTGATGTCTAATTTCTGATTTGTGTTTTGCAATTTTATCTTTAATTTATGCTTATGAACGAAGTTGGGAGTATAGACGAATCGAGCCGAGTCGTGAAGAGCTCCTGATACTTCAGCTTTAGCAGTTGTTGAGCTCGATCCAAATGAGTCATTAACGAATTCATATTGTATTTCAATATTAACGAGTCGAACTCGAGTCTTGACAGACCGTTGTTATGTAGAATACATAATAATTTATTAATTTTAAGTTTCTCGTTTATTAAATGGGCTTTAAACAAGCTATGATTCGCTCGTTTATCACACGAGTTGAGTTGGGTAGAACTGAATTTATTAGCGTCGATTCATTTACAACTCTAAAACACATTAGAAAAGTAAAAATCAAAGACAACAATACACTTGATAATATTCAAATATTTTGGTTTCTCCTTGTAGAAGTCGCCTACATGCGTTTGAAATTTGTATAGGTAGCCAAATGGCCAAGCTATGTCGGTTCTGGGCTCGATCCAACAGGTCGTTGGACCTAATATACTGAAATCGAAACCAGCCTAGGGGAAATATGGTTCTAGTTCTTAAAACTGGCGGGCCTAGTTCCAGTTTTGGGTCGACCATTTTTTGTTCTTTATTCAGCTTAAAAAATTATTGTATTATATTTTAAGTCTAAAGTTTATTTAACTGACTCGTCGAGCGTATGCCTGTAAACGAGCTCGAGCTCGAGCCCTTAACAAGTGGAGTCGAGTTCGAGTTCTGTTCGCTTGTCATTATTAACGAGTCAAGTTTGAGTCTTAACGAGCCGATCTCGAGCTTAACGAGTCGAATTATAAAAAACTATACAACAATTCTCTTTTGAGCCTTAACAAGTCGAGTCGAGCTCTGCTCGTTAACCAAACGAGCTTTAAATGAATTCGAGCTCGGCTGATTAAGTGCTCGAGCTTGAGCCGAACTCGAGCCTTAACGATCCGAGGTGGGCCAGACTCATTTAATTTAACAGCACTCAAGCACAAGCTTAGGACACAGAGCCGGCTTGTACAATAAACGGGCCTGGTTATGGTGCGGGCCCACAACTCGCGGTCAACGTGTTGACTCATCAACTTGTGTATTGCTTAATTTGTTGTAAGTTCTACTTCTAACCGCCAACTTAACTTCTATCACCTTTGTAATGCAGCTAATAGGAGTATCCATGGCACCTCTTCTTTTTCTCACTTGATGCAATTTGTTTACCAACATACATATCCAAATATCTTAAAACTTTATACCACAATTTTCAAGTACACATGAAGGTACATATTTTTTTTTTTTGGTACAGGGACCTTCCGGTTTCCGGATCCACAGGGAAACCGACTAATCCGAAATCGAGCCGGGTAGGACCACAAGGCGGCAAAGCTCTCCCTCAAGAGTTTTAACACTGCTGCATTCCCAGGGCTCGAACTCGAGACCACTGGTTAAGCTGAAAGAGACCCAAGTCATCTCATCCAAGCGTTCTTGGGTAACACTTCATAAAAGTAACACTTTATAAAACCTTATACACATACATAAGCACATGCATAAACCTTATAATAGTAAGACCCACTTAAACATAATATATTATTGTGAAAAACAAAATAAAATTATGCATCCTTAATTAGCATTGTATACATTGTCACCATTTAACGTATAAAGAAAAGTTGATTCATTTATGTAAAACATTCAACATGGCAAGGCCATGAGAAGATAAAACCAGTAAGAGGAATATTTACTACACCATTTGATACTTTCGGTTTTCTACTTTAATGCCATGTCAAGTTTTCAACTGTACACTTGCTTATATATGACCGAGAATCATCTTTCCCATATTTGAAGATAATAATAAGTTTTTGCAATAAATACCAAGGGGTAAGACTGCATACCCTCCTAGTTGAAAGAGGTATTAAAACAAAAAAACAAAAAAAAAAAACAAAAAAAACAAAAAAAACAAAAAAACCCTCATTTTCAGTGTTTATGAATGCCATTTATATCTCATTCAATAAAAGATCGAATTCTAAAAGCCATATATGAACAAATTATTATAAGGCTCTGTTTGATAAAACTAGCTGATAGCTGATAAGCTAGCTGATAACTTATCAGTAATTTTCGAGCTTATAGCTTATAGCTTATGACTTATAGCTAAAAAACTAGCTTATATGATAAAAGTGTTTGGTAAAATTAGCTGATAAGCTAGCTGGAATAAAAAAATCAACTAGCTTATTTGAAAAGCTACCTAAAGAAGCTTATCAAATAAGCTCAAGCTTTTTAAATAAGTCCGTCCTACCAAACAGAGCTTATTTAAATACAAGTAGCTTATAAGCTAATCAAATAAGCTGTAAGCTAGCTTATTGGTCTACCAAACATAGACTATGTTTGGTAAAACTAGCTGATAAGCTAGCTGATAGCTGATAAGCGAGCTTATAGCTTATATGTAATTTTCGAGCTTATAGCTTATAGCTTATGACTTATAGCTAAAAAGCTAGCTTATATGATAAAAGTGTTTGGTAAAATTAGCTAATAAGCTAGCTGGAATAAAAAATTCAACTAGCTTATTTGAAAAGCTACTTAAACAAGCTTATCAAATAAGCTCGAGCTTTTTAAATAAGCTCGTCCTACCAAACGGGGCTTATTTGAATACATGAAGCTTATAAGCTAACCAAATAAGCTAGCAAAGCTAGCTTATTTGGTTTTACCAAACATAGCCATAGCCTAAGACTGTTTGTGAGACGATCCTAACGGTTATGGTTATACTTTTTCAATGCATATTTCTAAATTGAAACTTTATACCTAAAAACCAACATAAACAAAATTACAAACATTTCATAACATATATTTTCATTTTCGCTGAATAAAATTCTTGTATGAGAGCGCCTGACCGTTAGGTTGGTTGACACATTATATTATTTGTTGCTTTACATTTGTATAGGTTGTTTTTTATAATGACATTTTAGCTCTAAAGTAGTGCTGTTAAATCAAAGGAGATCGACTCAGCTCGTTAAGGCTCGAGTTCGAGGCTTTAACAAGCCGAGTCTGAGCACATTTAAAGCTCGTTTGGTTCACGAGTCGAGCACGACTCAGTTCAGCTCGGTAAGGTTCGAAAGATAATTTTTATATATTTTTTTGTAGTTCAACTTGTTAAATTTCAAAATCGACTGGTTAAAACTCGAGCTGTCATTTTAGCTCGTTTATTTAACTAGTTGTTTGCAGGAGGCCTACTTCAAATATACATATAGTTGAAAAGTATGACCGACTATGTACCCAAAAA